TGGTGGCGGGCAGTGTTCTCCCTCAGCTCACGGTGGGGCAGATGGCAGGCATGGCCGAGCTGGACCTCTGCTGGGGATGTCAGCCAGGCTGGTCTCAGAGTGGTTGCCTTCATGCCCTGCCACCAGGTCCCTCCTTGAGGCCAGCAGAGGCATGTCGTGTCCATCCTGTGTTCAGTCTCTGCCGACTCCTGCCTTTGCTCTCTACCCCCAACTTGAAAGGGCACATGTGATTAGGTCAGGTCCCCACAGTAACACCCACATTTTAAAGCTTAGTAATGTGAGACTTAATTATATCCACAAAATTCCTTTATGTGTGTCAGTGTCCTAGGCTGCCAGTCCACATTACTCCAAACTTAGTGGCTTGTCACAAGATAATTAATTTTTAGACAGCACTGGAATCCTAAAGCCAGGAGTCCTAAATCAAGGTCTTGGCAGGGTTGGTTCCTGTGGAGCCAGTGATCGAGAATGTTCCATTCACTTTCCTGGTTTCTGGTGGCTGCCAGAAACTCATGTGTTCTTTACCTCTGTGCCCATCTCACGAGTCCTCTCCTCTTCTTTTTGGGGCTCCAGTACTGGATTTAGGGTTTACCCTCCCCTTCATCTTAAGTAATTATTGGCAAAGCCCCATTTCCAAATAAGGGCATATTCTAGGGTTTTGAATATACGTGAATTTAGGAGGGATACTGTTTAGCCCACCTCAGTCTACTCTCTGATCTCCCAAGATTCACGCCTGTCTCATGTGCAGCACACACTCATCCCCTCAGCACCTCTAGCACTTTATCCATGAAAGGATCCATGTACACACCCCAGTTCTCATCCAAATATCATCAGCTCAAAGGAGCCCCGAAGTCATCATACAAATCAGGTTTCAGAGAGACTCTGAGAATAATCTTATTTTATTACTTTCTTTTCTTTAAGGGGTGAAAGAGTCCCGGGCTGCTGTGGCCTCCGGGCTCTGTCACTTATTTACTTGTTGAAGACTGCAGCAGGGCCCAGCTTGTGGGCAAGCTTCACCGAGCTCCTGTAGTTTCATCTCTGCCGCGGGCTAAGAGGCCATGAGTAGCCATTTCTGTAACAGACATGCAGTTTCCTTTGAGAAATGAAATGAGTGAAAGGTCGGGGGTTGGTGAGATGGCTCAGTGGTCTAAAGCAACTACTTAGAACAAGTTTAGCAAAGCACAGGGACCGTGGTTCAATCCCCCAGCACCACAGGCCAGCCAGCCCTGCCCCCTGGTGGGCTGAGCTGGCCACACACACACACACACACA